CAGTTAACAAGCAAACAAAAACCAGTCTCCATGCAGTGTTTTATGACGTTCACCCGAGGCATGTGTCAGCGCTTTATCTGGCCCAGGTCGAGGGGTGCGGTATGGTTCCTTCGGCTACAGTGCTACAGCTGACTCCTCGCGTTGTCGCCGTAGCCTTTGAAGTGTCTTCGAGAATTACAAAAAAGAAATTGGTTAACTCTTAGTGAAACTGGTACAAGCGGTTCAGATAAGAAGCGCTTTGAACGTGAGCCAACCTCGTCCAAAGAAAAAATATTCTTTAAGGAGTTCAAAGCGGAGCTGACTCCACCAGAAGGTCAAGAAGAATACGAACTTGTTCTCGGGTTGTCTTCGGGACAGAAGCGGCTTCGAGAATTATAAAGTAAATTTGCTTAACTTTTAGTGAATTCACGACTTATAAGCAATTTACCGATTCAGAATCAGAAGGCACAAATGGAGTTGTATGGCAAGCAAGGCAAGTCAACATCGTGAATACATCCGTAAAGCCGTAACCGCGATGCAGAACATACGAACATTTATTGAGAATGAATACTGGGCAATCGGTGAACAGCGAACAGGTATGTTGGGTTTCTTATTTTGAGAAGAAAAACACAAATATGGACCATTTACTTAGAATTGGACACGCTTCGGAGAGAGATGGATTTCGCCAAAGCAGAGCTGAAGGCTGCAAAGGACGAACAGCTGGTGGCTGTTAAGAACCAACTCTACAATATGGCCGTATCAGCCTTTGAAGAGAAACTTAAGAAGGTATCTCATACAAGACAATGTTGAGTCCTCGGGCCAACATGTTGGAAATATTTACAGGGTGGGGCATAAATATGGTAACAGCTCGAGGGTACCCGTCAGGAGGCCCGTCGCGCGGCGAGAGGGCACAAACACAGATGTCAGCGGACGAGTCGCAGAGGGTGCTGTGTGGTCTGGGACGTGCAATAGGGGTGCGGTTCGCCAAGACAGGAAGCGACTTTTCCGCTTTTCGCAAGCGGAACTTTTTCGCCGCGGGAACCCCAGGTCCACCACTGATCAGGTGTTAATCTGGGGTTCTTGCAGAAAATTCGCGTTGCGAAAAGCGGAAAAGTCGATTTCTATGTCGTAGCGATCCACACCCGTACAATAGCACATTCTGTTTTCTGAAGTATTTGCGTATATTCACTGCACGTGCTAGGTCGCGACTCGCCCGCTGCGGCACTTGCTCCTTCTTCTTATCAGCGATTGGTACCTTCTGTCATGACCACCCCAAGCTTTCGTGAGCTCACCTCGAGCAGCTTGTTGTTCTGAATAGGTATCTCGACTAAACCTTCAACCCGGTTAAACGCTTCTGACACTCCGCTGCCATTTATCGAAACAAGACGTACTTACTGCAGGAGTCGAGAGAACGTCCTTCACTTAACTTAAGGTATATTTAGTCCTTAGGACGTCTTCTAACGCTCTAAGCACTGATTATCGTGGGAGACGCGGGAGACCTGAGCTGCTACGAGGCCGAAGCTGGGGGGATTCTCGTAGTGGCTGATTCGCGATTTACTTTCCATACCTGGACCAAAACGTCATTTTGCCAACAAACATCGCCGGTGACATACACTATGCGCAGAGGAATTACCTCAGAGCGATACCTGCTGCATTGATGGAGAATCAGCCCGAACTTGGACCCGACCGCAACTATAGCCGCCTTTTTGCTGATTCTAAGGGAAATTACAGGTAACAGCACTGGTGGACGAGCTGCCAAAACACAAAGCCGCACACTTCGCCGATTTAGAAGAATGGGTCAGCTGCACAAGAAAGTACCACGATCAAATGGCTAAACTGAACCGAGACGCCCTAAAGAGCTAACCAAGGTCAAATAGGAAAACTTGTAAATTATTCAAAACACTACAAACACAATTTTGTAGAAATATTGTACTCGATAAAAGAAAATAAATTATCGATTAAAATTAATAATGAGATGTATACAGAGTGCTTCATGGTGATTTCAGGAGATTCTAGTCTGAGGAAAGTATTTATCACATTAAAACGACATCGGATCACAAAATATAACCTAACAAAAACTAAAGTATGCTATAGTTGAGCTCATTATGTTCCCCTCCAATTCTCGACAAGAAATTTCTTCCACGACTTTACGTGAATATCGTAGCCGCTTTCGGTCACATCGTAATTTGTCACCTAGAAAAATCGAAATTAGAATGGAAACATGCGACAGTCTCAACGAATTTGTTTGGTAATTTCTACTTTTCCCGTTAACTGTTTCGATTTCGACGAGTTCCTCATCAAATCCGTCCTGAAAGCAGACGGCGATTCACCAACAAATCCACAGCTTTGCGCGAATTAGCATTCTCGCCTCTTCCCTTCCACTTTCTTAGATTGTCTTATACAGCGATATTGGATGAAAAAACTCATTTATCTACTTTCGTTATTGATTAGACACTGATCATAATTGACTGATATGGTGAAAAGGGGGGTGTGCGTCATATGGGGCCGTATGCTATCCTCCCCGAAGAGGTTCGGGGACGG